TTTTTTACATAACCTGTCACTCTCATATTAAAATCACAATATACAATGATATATATTGTTCCAAATCTGTTCACAGAAACCTGATGGATGAGGAAGGAGTGAACTGCTTCATCTATAAGAGTGCAAGGAATTTCTACTTTTGTTCCTTGGAAGCTTTCATCTTACAGAATCTCCTCCTGTGCATTTCATGTGGAAAGGGAGTTTTCCTGGGTCTTGTTTTATCTTTCCTTGGCTCCTATTGTAAAGGAAAAAGTATTGGTCTCCCAGCACACACAAACACAAACAACATAATTTTCTTGCAAAGATCCTTTTTTCTGTGAAACACAACAAACTTTTCCAGTTGTACCTTTGTAGGTTAAATTTTAGACCAACAGATGGAGTTACTCATAGCTTACTTACATCTGCACACAAACACACACATCTGGCTTAGAATGCACTATAAAGAGAGAAAAAAAGAACTCAGACAGGTGCAAACAATTCTCTGCACGGAAAATCAAACAGGCGCGATGATACGTGATGGAACAGCAGCTGGTGAGCAGAACACACACCTCCTCCTGTTACCAGAGACTACACTCCACTCTAACAAAGCAAGAGACGCTCACCTGCCGAGGAAAATGGCAAGAGCATAAAAGGTGAAGATGGAAAAAAGAGGTAGTTAATCCTATCTACAATATGCGCTAATCATGAATATAGGAGATCCATAACGGCCTAGTTTGCAAATGTATCTACATTCACTTGCCATGCCCAAAAAACAACTACAACCTTGACTAAGTATATATTTGAACTAAATCTTGAATTAATTTCTCAGTTCAACCTGATAATGTTGCTTCCAATGAATAGAATGCATAATTTAATTGTTGAGATGATGTGTAATGGTCTTAGCTTTCTTTACAGTGGTGGTGATGGCAACCAGGGTTTGAAATGTCTATGTAACAAATACAGCCATTTTATTTGCTATCCAAATGAGCAGTGAAGTTGATGGTGGTAAAATAGTGGTAAATCTGAAAAAAATACATTTTCTTTACTAATTTGCATTACAATGACCTTCACGTACCTGTCCACTCTAAAATAAAAACCTTTATTTAAGATATAATGATTGAAAGAAAAAACTAAATCTTGTTATGAAAAATATTTTTCTCAAATCTACGTGTGCCACAATTATTAGCAACCCTAGAAATTCTTAAGAGTGAAATCTGTTTTTAAGTTCACCTGAACTGTTAAGACCACTTAAATCGTCAGCCATGACTTCCTGATTCACTGGGGAATATCCATGAGATGAAACACAGGCCAAATGCTCTCAGTCATCTATTGTTATGAGAAAGACCAGAGAACACAGCAATGATGTGTGACGAAAGGTTGTTAAGCTGCACAAATCAGGAAATGGCTAAAAGCAAATAGCTAAACAGCTGAAATTGCCCATTCCCACTATCAGAGCAATAACTAAGCAGTTTAAAACAACTGGAGATGTTAGGAATCTGCCAGTAAAAGGACGTATGTCTATACCCCCCCACACAAAGAGGATGGTTTGAATGGACAGAATGGAAAGAATCGCAGAAGGAGAATTGCAGACATTAGTTGGTTTTGGGGTCACAACATCTCCCAAACTACAATGAAACACCACCTATATAACCACATATTGCTTAGGGGGGTTGCCAGAAGAAAGCCTCTGCTGTCAAGGACCAGCAACTTCAACATCCTACAGCGTGCCAAATGTTACTGGAACTTTCAGTAGGACTGTGTTCTATTATCAGAAGAGACCAAAATAGAGGTTTTTGGCAACAAACACCAGAGGTGAGTTTGGTGTGGACACAAAGAAGTAAGGTTTTGCCAGGGCCACCCCATTTCCTTGACCAATAACCCTTAGAAAACCTGTGGAATGAGCTGAAGAGGAGAGTCCACAGTTCTGAGTGGAGGAATGGTCTCATATTGTTTGCCATGTGTTCTCCTGTCTCATTAAGCATTATAGGAGATCAGGGTGTTTCCTGCCCTATATATATATATATATACATATATATATATATATATATATATATATATATATATATATATATATATATAGGATACTGTTGGCAGTTTTACCTTTTTAAATGCTTTTTTCAATCAGTTGGTGCCATAAGGGGTAAATGGATGGCCCCAAACCGATGAAGCTTATGCTGCTAATACAGAATTTGTAAGGTTTAGATTTCAGCCGCTGCTCTTTTTCCTTATGAAATAGCACCACCTTGAGGTGAGAAGCTGTAAGTTCGGTGATGTGCTGTCTGCATTTTAACAGGAAAGAAAGAAGTTTTGTAGAAATACTACAATATGACAGGTTTTTTTAAAATTCATTAGTTAATTAATTTATTTGTTTGTTTTGTTTCATTGCTTTGACCTCGCGTACACTCACTAGTTATTTAAAGCAGAGATCAGAAAAACAAGTTTGCAGTCTGAGTTTGCTTTTTGAAGTATCCTTGAAGTTATGAATTAAAATAACAAAACGTTTTTATATTGTTATGGCTGAGGAACTAGTAAAAGTGGCATAGGTGTGTCCCACAACTCACCACTTATTAAGAATGCTAAGATCTATGAACAGGCACGATTATGCCAATTGTAAACGCCCCTTGCTGCCACGTTTCTAAAGCATGCCCCTACTACCATGCACACTGTCTCTGTGTTAGAAGAGAGAAAGAGCAGCAGTGAAACTCCCACTATAACTATAATTATCAGAAATATCCTGTCTTGATGTTACTCACTCAGATTTTTACTTCATCCTCTAAACTTGCCTCAGAGCAGCATTAGTGAGCCAATACTGGTGATTTAACCTTTGCACTACTCTATTGTTAGCTTCTGGTGCTAACAAACATATGAATTAAAACTAGCTTAAGCTAACAGCTCCACACACACAAACACAGATTTACCCGCTCAGTTTTGAGTTTTTATTCTTTAAACTTGTGTGAGTGAGGCTTCAGTGAGCCGAAATGAGCCTGTGTGGTTGTGTGTAAAGCCTTGTTGTGTTAGGCCTTGTCACTAAGCGAATGCTGGTTGTAGTGCTTGCATCTAGTGGCACAGCTGTTTGACCCTGGTGGCACTGCCCTTAATGAGAGTCAGCTGATGCTGGGGTGGCATCATGTGGTCATGCCACTTTCGAAGGTTGTCGTTGGCGCTCGGGGCTCGGTTGCTGGACTCATGCCACCAACTGCAGCTCTGGAGGGCGCCTGAAACATCTTTTTATTAGCTTATATTAGTATAGTGGACTGTGATCGGTTCAAGCTCATTTGTGACTTACAAAACTAAGCTGCTATGTAGCATTTGATACAAATATCAGTCTACCTTAATAAACCACCCAAGGGAACTTAACTGTTTAAAAAACACATTTTTGAGTGAAGGCAGGGGTCCTTAAAGGGGTAAGGTTAAACCAATTTTTAAAAATTCAAGTTTCAGGATGGCTGGTACTATTGGTAATATTTTTGTCCATATTATGGCTATTTTTGACTAGCCTTCTTGAAAGCCTTTAGACAAACAAATATTTACATATACATGAGATTACAAAATAGATTATTTTCTCATTTAATCATGCAATTAATGTAACAAACAAACCCCTTGACTCTTGATGAATGCTCTGCAAGTTTGCACAGCAGACAAAGCCTGAGGGCCTAGAGAGAAGACATTTTTTGGCTTTAATCTCAAATCCTTCTTAACTATGATCAGTCCAAGGCTGAGCTTCATCTAAAGCTAGCATTTTAAAGGTGAATTCTACTGACTTTTTTCATTCTCTGCATTATTTAATCTTGAAGATGTAAGCAAAGTCATTCAGACTGGTTTGATGTGAAACATTCCATTCTAGAGAAACTTTGTTGAGTTACAATTGTTCACAGCGGTGGTGATAGGACCCAGACGTCTGAAGCGTTTCATGTCTCTGAAAGCTACATCACAGGGAGTTATTACATGAAATGGCTATGAATATACTGTCTGATGCCTAACACTGTTTTACAACAGATTCGAGATCAGATTTGGTCTACGATGTATTTTTTTTTAAAATACATTCATGGAGGCAAAATAGTCCACCAAGATAGATTTAACAGCATTTTACTGTCAACATTACATATAAAAACTCAAAAGACATGTAGGTTCCCTGGTGGTTTTCAGTATGAATAAATTTATGAAAACGTACTATCAGAAACAAATAGGATTAAAACTCTTTGTAATTGGAATTCGCTTAATGGTTTCTAAAAGACACCACCAGTTTCCTGTAGAACACCTTCAGATCCCATTAGGAAATCATCAAATGCATTTGGAATCAGCCACTGGTCACCTTTTAAACCGTTAGGATCCTTTACATTGTAATATCGACCCATTAAAAAAGCTAAAACATCACACAACACATTAGGGACCAACAGAAACACTTAGTGGTTTCTATGGGTTTTTCAGCAGGGTTTGCATTGTACACATCACAACCACTGGTTCCTATCACCACCACCATAAAGAAATCCAGATTTCTCTTCAATGAACAGTCTCAAACCACTCTGTATGACTTTGCATCTCAGTGATTAAATTATGCAGGAATTTAAAAAAAAGTGATGGAATTCCCCTGTAAGTGCACTGTAATGTGCTATGTGCTATTTTTCAACACACTGACTTACCTCTGTAGTTTACTGTAGGTTGGGAAGGGGTAAGGGGGGTGTTAAAACAGAATGGTATGGGCATCGTGGCCCCGGGCACCTCTGGCCCATGCGCACGAGCTAATAACACAGAAGCAAAGCCAGCTGACAGATCCGCTGCTGAGATTTAGAGAACATATCAATTCTCACGCATCACATGGAAACTTCCTTGGTTTCTTCGTCAGCCCTATGAAGCACCATAAGGACTGAAATGGATTCGTGCCCAGCAGAAGGATGTGTGTGTGTGGGTCTTCCTCATGACGCGGGCACGCGCAACTCCTGCGCGGATCTAACTGGGAATAATGACTCCACAGGACTGATGCTTTCAGTGAGTGAAGCTTTACTGGCTTTATTATCAATGAAATGGGGGACAAGTTCGAGCTGCTCAAGACGGCCAAACGGAGCGCTCAGCGTCAGAAGGCGAGAGAGGGGAAAGCGCGGCTGCGGGTCATCTTCCTGGATGACAGCGAGCGGGTTTTTGAGGTCGAGGTACAAAAAACTACTCATATTCTCCCTGAATTTCTCCTTACGCTTTTGATTATGCACAGGAATGTTCCCACTGTGTCATTATTAAAGGGGAATTCCACCTACATTTCAAAATTTCTGCATAGTTCAGTGGTTGAGATATAACACAGGCATTCATTTTTTTTTTTGTGAAATGCTTTGTTCGTAGAGAAAATTACCGACTCAGTTTGCTTTACAGTGGTGGTGATAGGAACCAGGGATCCTGGTGTCTACAATGCAAATGTAATCATTTTATTTATTATCCAAAACCACCAGCTTTCTTTTAGGACTATTTTGCACTCTTCTTGTATCCCGCCACCATTAAAATAAATTGATCAATACATTTTAGACCAAACTATCACAAAATAATGTCTCATTTTATTTAATAACGTTCCGTGAGGGAGCTTTTAGAGGCATTAAACCTCAGACGTCTGGTTCCTTTCCCCACCACTGTGGAGAATTCTGGCTCGGTAAGTTTCTCTAGAACGAAGCATTTCACACCAATCCTCTCTGAATGACTTTATGGGCATGTTAACCATTCAATTGTGCAGACATTTAGCAAAAATTGGTGGAATTCACCTTTAACACCAACCGTGCCGAATGAACATATACAACGTTCATTAATGTCCAGTTATAAACCAATGAACGCTGTTAATTCAGCAGTTATTCCAGCACTGCAGTTTTGTGTATGACGTCATACATCAAAATGAAACTCTCCTTATTCATTAATTCTTTCTTTCTTGCTTGCTTTCTTTGTTTGTTTCTTTCTTTCTCAGAAAATAAAAGGGTTTTACTAAATTTTTTTGGGGTTTAGTATCCAGTTTAGTACCTTTTTCTGAGAGTGAAAGTAGTAATAATATAGTATTTATTTATTCATTCATTTATTTATTTATTTATTTCCTGTTAGAAATATGTGCAACAATAACCTTTTTTACATATTTGTCAGATGCCACAATATTTAAATGTGAGGTCAGGTTCCTGAACAGAACAAAGTGTATCTTGCCAAATATACTTTAAGGAAGCTCTCATGGAGCTAAGCCTGAGGTGTTGCACTGTCCAACTAAAAATGTGTGTTTGTGTGTGCATCAGTCTCAGAGTTTGTGTGTGTGTTTGTATACCGAGCTCAGTTTAGGCTCAGCTGTGTTTTCCTTGTAAAATAGTGGCATTACGTCTCCCATTATCCACAGGGGGTGGTGTGTGCGTGTGTATGTACATGTACCTGAGAGTGTGTGTGCAGTAAGATGCCTATGTTTCGCATCTACACAGAGATAGAGGGACATGACAGAAAAAAAAGCCTTGCTGTAATTGTTAGAGAGGCTGAGAAGAAAGGGGGAGAGCAACAGAGAAAGAGAGAAAGAGACAGAGAGGGAGAGAGAGAGAGAGAGAGAGTTGCCATTAGGCATGTGTTTGAATAGGGGTAAATATCCAGGCCTGCGCTGGACACAGGCTCAGCCTGGCCCTGTTCCAGATTCTATGTCAGCCCTTCTCTGCCTCCTCAGGCAAAAGAAGCAATTAGCAAATGAGTAGGGAGGAACAGAGAGAAGGAGAAGATGAAAGGCAGATGACATATATTTTTTTCTTTTTTTGTGGGGGGAGGGCAAGCTTTTTTTCAATATGGAGTAAAATCAGTTGTGAGAGAACTGCCTCTATTTACCATCCAACAAATACAAATTTTTCCTGGTACTGGCACCATTGTACGAGCTTTATTTTGGGAGGAGAGAAGGAAGGAATGGAATCTTCTGTCCATTACTCTATTATGTTTTCTGTGAGAGCTTAAAAGTATATAATAATAAATTACAAATAAAAGGTTTAAGTGGAAAAAATAACTATTATATATCTCTGAATAACAACGGTGAAAAGAAAATTCATATTTCTGGAATATAGAACCCAGAGGTAAACATGAACAGGGAAAATAAAACAGGGCCTAAAACAGAACCTTGAGGTACACTTTAAAAAAAGATCTTCAAGGGTTCTTTAGTAAAGACAATGTTTATATAGAACCATGAACACTGATGGAGAATCTGTTGTATATGGTTCTATGTAGAACCTTTTTAAAAGTGGTGCTACATAGCAACAGAAAGGATTCTGCTATTGTTGCTAGCTTGACATCATAACATGCCAATATAGAATCAGGAACACCCAAAGAACTGTTTGCATGCTTAAAGCGTTCTTTGCATCGCAAAATGGTTCTTCAAGTTGTTGGAAAATGTGTTATATATGGCTCTATATGGAACCTTTTTCAAAAGGGTTCTATATAGCACAAAAAAAGGCATGTTACAATGCTGAGCTTGTAACAACAGAACCCTTTTTGGTGCTATATAGAGCCCTTTTGAAAAAGGTTCTATATAGAGCCATACACAGCACATTTTGCATCTATTTGAAGAACTATTACACAACGCAAAGTATCCTTTAAGCATGCAAACGGTTCTTTGAGTGTTCATGGTTCTATAAAGAACCATTGTCTTTACTAAAGAGCAAACACAAGACAAGGTTTCAGAACCTCTGTTTGAAAGCATTTCAGTAAAAGTTCAGTGTGTTCACTGTCATTCAAAAGTTTGGAATTATATGAAACTGGTTGCAGATAAATGTAGAAAAAAATCTCCAGAATGCCTTGTCTTTTTTAAAAATGATTGTCCAACCTGAAAGCACTTAACTTGGCATGTATTGAGTGTAAATAGTCATTGTAATATATATTTAATCCTATAAAACTACCCTTCAGTGTCAGGTTTATAATGTTTAAATCTACATCATATATGATTGAAGTCTGTGCAGTAGTGTATACTTTGTATAATTTTTCTGTAAAAAAAGAAACTGATATTATTTAGTGTCATTTAGTGTATAGCTCTCAGTTGGAGTGATAACAGTGTTTACTTCCAGTTTTAATGAAACTGAAGCTGCCAGCTGCTTGTATAGTCATGAGCTAATAGTCGAGTACAAATCAAACTTTAAGGTACTAACTGTTGTAGCTTTAACGTGACTGTTGAACCACCAATCAGATTATGCAGTTGTCTTAAGTTTTGCACTGATGCTATGATGCTGCTATGTGCTTCCATAACAAGTAATGGAAGCACATACCACACCACCTGGCATCGTGCAAACATTACATAAACTTACATCACAAGTAAGGAACATTTTTGCCTTCTCCTTTAAATTTGCCTTTTCAGAGATACTTGTTTTTCTCAGGACAGCATTAATAAAAGTTTGTACACACATTATTACATAGAATGTTTTCTCTATGGCTGTGACGTTCAGCCAGTGTGTAATAAATGTTCACTGTGCTCTTCACACATTAACTTATTAATAGTATACTACTTGTAGGTTAGAAGACTGCCTCACATCAGACTGCTTGCATTATTAATAACAGTGTCAGATAATGCACAGCCCTGGAGAAATGTGTGAGATGTTATGTCATGTCCAGTGCAAGACAACAACAATACATCTAGGGAAATGGGTCAGTTTAGCATGCTCAGATGCATTATTTGACAGCACCTTTGTTTTTTAACCAAAGCCAGTGGCAGAATTCCTTTTACAAGACCACTGAGATGGAATGATTAAAGTGGCCAAAGATAGAAAAAGAGGCCAAAAGTGTGTAGCAATTTTAATTAATGATTAGTGAGTTACTAGAGCTTTGAGTAGTGATATAAAGAAGTCAATATCTTGTCTTCTTTTTTTTTCCAAGCATAATTTTCTCTTGCCAATGAACTGACTGACTCCTTTATAATATGTTCAAAATAAGATTCAGTTTGAGTATCTGGGCTTTGAGGGAGTGTTTAAGCTTAATTTGGCCAATGAACCATTTGTTTTATTTGCCATCCAATATGTTCACAAATGTCTTCTTCCGCATCTATATAAAGACATATTACATTTGTACATCTCTTCAAGCTCTTTCATGCTTGTTGCCAGTTTTTGTCATATTTCTTAACTGCTATAGAGGTTCACCATTAGAAGTATGGGAACTTCTGGTATACCCATTTTCCTAGGGACAGTACATCATTTTACAGTGATGTGAAGAAGTAAGTACACCCCATTATCAATAAAGCATCAATAAGTTTCTCTTTTTTGGGACATGTGTAGGCATATCAGTATTTGATCATCAGCTACACAGTATGTATGGATAAATGTTACATAATAGAACAAAATACAAAAGAAATTTGCCTTTGCAATCATTTATTTAAAAGTATAAAAAAAAACTTACTTAAGTACACAAAAATGTCTTTGGTACTGTGGCCAAACAACTCTATCTTTGACTCATCTGCCCATGGTGCAATGTTCCAGAGTCCTGGTCTTTGCCTAGATATTGATTAGCAAACATTAGTCTTTTCCAGATGTTCTTTTTAGACACCAAATACTTCCTCCTGGTGCACCTCCCATATAGTTCACATTTGTGCAGTCTTGTTCTAAAGGTAGATGTATGCACTGCAGCTACCTGTAGATCCTTTGATGAAATTCTGGGGTTTTTAAAGACTTCTTTTGAGCATCTTACATTCTACTCTTGGTTTAAATTTGCTGGGGCAGCCTGACTTGGACATATTGGCAGTGGTTCTAAATCTTTACTTGCAGACGATCTTCCAGACAGTGGAGGGATTCATTTGTAAGATTTTGGAAATACTTCTATAACCCATTCTCAGACTTATAGGCAACTACAAGCTCCTTCCTGAAGGCCTCAAACAGCTCTTTAGATTTATGCTTGATGACACCCCAAACTCCAACAACAAAGAGCAAACCAGACCAGACCAAATTAACTGAAATATATAAATGGGGTATACTTACTTTTTCCACATAAGAAAATTGTGTTTCAGTTTATTTCAATTATATAAAAGATGACAAAAATGTTAATTTTAAGTATCACTTGTTAAATTATCACCTTTATCTATCAACACTGTTTAAATGAAGACTACATATCTGTATGTCCAAACATGCTGAAAAAGTCTTAACTTTTCACAGGGTGGACTTGATTCTTGACATGACAATATGTGATCAACACAGTCAAAGCCCCCATTTACACCTGGTCACTTAATGTGACTAGTATCTGGACTGTATCCTGATAAGATTTTAGACACAAGCATTTACACATGGTAGGCAAATGCTTCTCTGGTTTATCGGACTATAATCCAATTGCTATGTGGGATGGAATATGCAAATACGATCATTATGCAGCAGCCAAGAACCAATTGTTTATCCGTTCAGCGACTTCTTAGCCTATGCTAAGGTTGTAAGTTGCCTGCATTGTGTTTTGCACAGTAGTGTCTGTCTATATTGTTATTAAAAATTTTCAATTCATGCCACAATTGTTGGCTCACCTAGAAATTCTTAAGAGTGAACTGTACTGTATATTCCCATTCATATTTAATGTTTTTAAGTTCTCCTGAGTTATTAGGAACACTTAGTGGTCAGACATGACATCCGGATTCACTGGGGAATATATATGAGATAAAACACAGGCCATATTCCCTCACCCATCCATCATTATGAGAAAGACCTGAGAATACAGCAATGATGTACAACAAAAGGCTGTTAAGCTGCATGAATCAGGAAATGGCTACAAGAACATGCTCATGTCCACTGTCAGGGCAATAATTAAGAAATTTAAAACAACTGGAGATGTTAAGAATAAGGTGACCAGATTTCTGAAATGAAAACATTTCATTTACAGTTCAGCAGTCAATGTATCATTAAAATATCCAATTTTTTTATCTATGAAATAAAAAAGGGGGGACAGTTCTGGTTTCATGTATTTTGACCATGGTAACTGTAGTACTGTAATAAACTATTGTGAAGACTGACTGATAAAATAAAGGACTAACTAAGTAACTTTGTAAACCATGTGAGAAAATCATATAGTAACCTACCATATGAAGTTTAAAAAACATGATGTGCTATTTGTGGTATAGTAGCCTACATTCAAGTTGATTATATGCCTATACAAATCAAATAACCTACCTATCACCTGGTAGTATGATTCGGTCCTGTAACCACACCCTTGCTTTTAATCCCTGGATCACCTCATGTCTTGAAAAGACATTTGGGGTTGATGTGGACTCGGATTTGACACTTGCTGGCTTCTGGTCAAGTTTTACACAGCAATATTGTCTAAAACTAGGCGTACAAGCGGTAGAATAAAGCAATAAGCTTATCCTACCACTTATAATTTGGGATAATTTTGACAGCACTTCAACCACTTTTCTTCAGAATCTTGAAATATTTTTGATGCAATCAGAGGCTTTCTTTTTTGGAAATAATCTCAGGGCCTGACTTCATCTTATATTTGAAATCCCTCTGTGTAGCTGACATCAACACTTTTTACTGTTTCATCTGTCATCCACTTTGATTTTGTTGTCTTTTTCGTTTGTCATACTCTGTGAATACTCTATATTCATTCTATGCACTGTACTTTAGTTTTATTCCTCCTTCAACTGACCTTATTCTAGTTCTTCTCGCTCCAAACTCTTTTTTTCCATCCTCATCTCTAATTTCGTCTGTGACAAGATAATATCAATGTTCTATTCCATACTGTGACAGTAAATATAGGGTTCAGGAATGTTTCCTCTCTCTCTCTCTCCCTCACACACACACACACATACACACACACAAACAAGTACACACACTCATCAGATAACAACCCTATATTTAAAAGGGGGTTGAGCGTCACATTTGATTTTGTGTGGGCAGTCACTGCTGACTTGGTTTTGTGAGAAAGATCAAAGACCAAAGATCAACGCTTTACTACTCGGATTACATCAGGATTTTGTGTATAATTATTTATATGTAATATAAAAGAAACTAAAGAACTTAGAAACAAGCTCTTCAGAGCAGTGAGAATATTACAACATGCAGGATGGTGGTTCTCCAGGACCAGGATTAAAAACCATTGCCATTGGCATTATTTTTGTTCCATTTTCCATTTTTATTTTTCTTTATGACTGATGTAGTTGTAGCAGGAGTGTTGTCGTTGTTGTTTAGTTTTACTTGCTGCAAATGTAAAGATGTTTGACCTCTCCATGTTCCATGCCTGACTGTCCTGCAGCAAAAGATCCTGGGCTGTGATTTCTTCAATAAGGTCTGTGGTCACCTAAAGCTCTTGGAGAAAGAATACTTTGGCCTGGAATTCCGTCACCACAACGGCAGCTATGTGAGTTGATCCATATGACCACAGAATGAATGCCCACTTGGAATCAGCTTCTTCACTACCACTCTTGTTAGTGTGACTAATATGAATTTAATAATCAGAAATAGACATGTAGTGGGATGAAGCTTCTCCACTAGGGGGCATTCGACACCATTAGCGTTCCTCACTGAAAGAGAGGAAACCCATAGCAGCAGGATTTCATGAATATACGTACAGTATATTTGCAATACAAATTAGCATTGATTTTAACTTGAAATATTTACTGAAGGACTCACTAAATATTTTCCTTTAGATACCTCACAAGTGTGTTAAAGTTAAAACTGCCATAAATGATAATAAACCCAGTGTGTGAAGTGAATGTACTCCATGTGTACAGCTTGGTGCCAAAATATCATTGCAAACCCCATAGGAGCAGACACAGCATTATCATAGCAGTTGTACTTACATACACAAAGGCTTATTATGAAATGTTATTGTTCAGTTGAGCCTAATTTATTGCTTAGGCTTATTGCTTAGATAGGAAATAAAAAAAACTTGCAAAGTGCTATACATGACTGGACCAAAATCATAACAAAAGGCCTGTATTCACCCATGTTCTATAATCCTAGATATTAAGGTGGCCCTATTTGTTGTCATTACCTGTAGTGCAGTTTCATCACAACAATTTTTACATACATTTTTACATTTTCAGCCATAACATAGTGGAAAGTGTTCAACATACAGATCAACTGTCAAGACTATATAGTTGACACAGGAAAAAAAATAGATTTAATTTTTATTTGACTTATTTATCCTTTTAGGTGTGGCTGGAACTTCTGAAGCCACTGGCTAAACAGATCAAGAGTGAGTATGCTGTATGTTTTGTCTATGTGCTCCCAAATTAAATAATAAAATAAATTGAACTGGAAACCTGAGGCTGAAAAAGGAAAAATTATGAGGAGATATTATGGGCAGTGGTAATTAGGTATTGGTCACTTTGTGAGGTTTAGGTAACTTTCTGTCTGATCCTGTTAGACACCAGTGATCCGGCATTCCGTTTTATTGTGAAGTTCTTCCCACCGGACCCAGGCCAGTTGCAGAAAAGCTTGACCAGGTACATGTGTGTGTGGGGGGGTCTTTTCATGAAGATGGATATTTGATGTTTATATATGACGTCTAATGCAGTGTTTCTCAACCCTGGTCCTGGAGGCCCACTGCCCTGCACTTTTTAGTGTTTTCTCTGCTCCCAGCACACCTGATGCAACTAATTACCCCATTAGCAGCTGATTATTGAGTTAAAGTGGGTGTGTTAAAGCAGAAAAAGCACAAAAATGTGCAGAGCTGTGGGCCTGCAGGAACAGGGTTGAGAAACACAAATCATTTGATTGTTATATTGCAGAGCTTCCAGGGGAGGCATGTATCTGCTAATTCTTGTACTTTCCTGTAGGTATCTATTTGCCCTTCAGATAAAACAGGATTTATCTAATGGGAGCCTCACATGTAATGACAATAGTGCTGCACTGCTGGTCTCTCATATATTGCAAGGTAAGCTATTTATTCACTTTTACTATCAGGCTGAATTCCAACTTGGGCTAAGTCAGGTTTTGGCCCGTATAGGTACAATAAAGCAAAGGACAGCATTTCCCCAGTTCTTTATAACAGCAGTTATAATAGTGATGGAAGATATATTGTCTGTAATGATATTGGTGTCACATGGTGTTTATTGATGGAAACAGTAAATGCAATTGATGTCATTTGCTGGGTGCCTCAGATTGGCCCTTATTCACCAATATCTTCCATTTTTCTTAAATTTGTTCACAATTTTAAATTTGTTCAAGAATTGTTCACACCTTTGTACTCTTGAGTGTGTGTAGATTCTGTTCTTACATAAGAACAAATCTCAAATAAGAGAACACTGGTGAATGTCAGAATCTTTGTGAAAACTGCACAAGTGGGTTTACAGAAGAAATTTCTTCTTAAGAACACTTGGCGAATAATGCCCATTGTTTTGAAATACCAATTAAAAATACATAAAAAATGAAATAGTAAGGTCCCTTTCATTCTCTGTCTGGTGAAGCGAAGCAGAGCTGAACAAAATCATAGAGTAGCAGCGCTCAGGAAGTTCATTAACGCTAACTTAAATGTCATTCAAGAATTTGTGGTTCATTTAAAATATTTTAAATAATAATAGGGTTAGTTTTGAAGACTACACTGTTTTATATTCTGTCCCTCCCTCTCTCTCTCTCTCTCTCCCTTTTCTCTCTTTTGTCTTTGCAGCAGAAATTGGGGATTATGATGAAGAATTGGATGCTCATCACTTAGAGAACAAGCAATATGTGCCAAACCAGGAGTACCTGGACCATAAGATCATTCGCTTTCATAAGAAACACAGGTACACATTACCACTTTCACAAGCAAAGCAGATACTCTGATCGCTGTGTGTGTTCTGGAGGTAAAAGTGTGAAGCTTTCCAGAAATTCACATCCAGACCACTATTGAGCAAAGTAAGGGACAAGAGTGGCAGGAAAAACCCTCATGAGAAGGAAATCTTGAGAGAAGGCAAGTATTTGCAACAGCTATGGCACATTTTGCATTTTAAGATTTCTGTTTATTTTTTGTCTAATTTGTTAAACTGCAAATAAATAGAAATTGTTCACTAAGATTTGGGACATATGTTTGTTTCCTGTAGAGGATGTGTTAACATATTTTCACTTGGAAAATCATCAGAACATGAAATTTGACCAGAGCTGTTCAAACTTTTGCATACGATTGTATACTATGTACAAATAAATGAGGCAAAAGCTTACAGTTAATTATTAAAGGTGGTATACATGTATGTCCTCGTTCATATAGCACAAAAGACCCCATATCTTTGACTGCTTCTCTGTGGAGCTTCTTAAGAAGTATTTTATTTTTTCCAATTTTACAAACCGAGGGCTATTTTGGACCCAGTGTTTCAAGGCTAGTAGTTTAGGATGCTTCATCTTAAGCAGTATTATGCCAAACAGGGTAAGAAAAACCAAACAGTAAGACTGTACTGCTGTCCAGTTGCACGTGTCAGGGACAATTTCAAAGATTGCTAATTTTGCACAAGCGCTAGCTGTTTGTTCTAAGAAACCAAAAATGGATTCAAATACAGAGGACCAAAAGTACTTCAATTTTTATACAGGAACAAACATTTGGGATAGATTTACCATGACCTCTTACAGCAGGGTTGTCCAAACTGTTTTCAAAGCGGGCTGGATCATACCATGGTCAGAATACCTGAGGGCCAAAAACTTGGGTACCTGCAGTAGTTTCTCTCCTGAATATTTATTGTAATGCCCATTCTTTGTTTCATGTTTATTTATATTAAATTCATTATAGTCTGTTGAAATATGAATCACACGCATTTGCTGTGGCTCTTGATGAAAAAAAAAATTCAAATTTCAATCTCGCCAAAATCGCCAGTTCTCAAGTTTGTGTTCTTAAGTTTGTGCTTTATAGCTGTAGTCTTGACTAAATGTCATTAAGTAAATGAAATTGCAGGTCAAATCAGAGAAGAAAGACTCTTAAACTTTAGTAAACTTCGTTACCATAATGAGGTGCATTAAACTGTAATTTATGCTGCTGCTGCCACCATCAGGTGAAAGGAAAAACTGCAGCGTACAGGCTGTCGGGCCAATTTTAACACACTTTAAAACAGAAGCCATGGGACAATTGAAATCTGTCTGTACACTGCATTTGGCCCTGGGGCCAGACTTTGAGTACTTCTGTTGTACAGATAAATACTTGGAAATACCACTTCAAGGAAATAAAGGAGTGTCCAATCTTATAAGAGACAGTGTGGCCTCAGGTTTTCACTTTAACAAAGCAAGAGAACACATGATCAACTGTTTGAAAACTGAGACCAGCTTTGAGGAGTTAAATCTGGTGTGCTTCAGCTTGGTTGAAATAAAAGCCACACTGGCCATTTGCAGATAAGATTAGACATCCCTGACTGAAAGTGTCTGCTTAGTCCAATGTGTGCTATATGCAAATTTACCTTCCCCTTACATATCACTTCCTCCCTTTGGGCCATTATAATTTTAAGAGAAGTCTGAAGTTTGGCCAGTATCATAATATACTCTGTATATTAGAATGATACATTTAAATGTTAGAGGGATCAGGAATATGATCATACCTAGAGGCTGGGCTGCAACCTGAAGAGATATTTTATGTACAAAGTAACAAACTTGGAGCTATTGAAAGGAATGATTCTGTTTTCATGACCAGAGGTCACACTCCTGCCCAGTCGGATGTGCATTTGCTGGAAGTTGCGCGGAAGCTGGACATGTATGGCATTCGACCACATCCTGCCCACGACGGGGAAGGCATGAGGATCAATCTGGCTGTCACTCACATGGGTGTACTTGTGTTTCAGGTAAAAAGCATAAATAATTACTCGTCACTGAGATCATCCATTTTTTTCCAAAGCTGGAGCTGCTGCTTACTATTGCAATTTGACTAGGGTAACACAAAGATCAATACCTTCAGCTGGGCCAAGATCCGCAAGCTGAGCTTCAAGAGGAGACACTTCCTTATCAAACTTCACACTGAGGCTGGGGTAAGAGTCAAAGGGATATGTTTTTCATTTTTCCAAAAGATATTCCCTCAGTTGATGTTTTCATGATGGTGGTACAGAGCTCTGTCCAACAGGACAGTCCAACATCTCCTAGAGGCATTTGATTGAAATCTGGTGAATGCAAAGGCCATAGCATTTGATTTACATCATTTTTATGCTAATCAAACCATCAGGGAACCCTTGAGCCCTGTGGAGGGGGTCACTGTTATCCTGAAAGGGACCACTCCTATCAGGATAGCAATGTTTCATGATAGGATAAAGGTGATCAGATGACCTTTTATTTATTTGCAGTGACCCTTCTCTCTACAGAGACTCAAAGTGGACCCAAACCATGCCAGCAAAAATGCCCCCTCACAGCATAACAGAGCCACTGCCCCAATTCCTCCACTGTTGGGGTCAAGCATTCAGACCTGTACCATTCTCTTGGTGCACAGCATACCATTCATCCACTTGTGGAGAATATGACTCATATAACAATATATTTTTTCCACATTTCTGTAGACCAGTATTTATGGTTTTTGCACCACTGATCTGCTTACAATTACGTGAGCATCACAGTCACTGAATGTATGCTTTTGACCATAATTTCAGCCCTATATACTCATGTTTTTCCCATATATGTGAATGGAGATGTCACTTTAGTGAATGTTTCTGTTTAAACACTACTAGTCAGCTGAGCAGTCTTTGTCACTAAAGCTCCTTCCATCCATGACCTAATAATGAACCTCTTTCAAAGTCTCTTAGATCTTTTCCTCTTTCCATTATGATCCAAATTCAAGGTGAACAGAGCCTGTTCAGCATTTTATACATGCCACAAAGCATGCCAGGATGTTAACTGCTTAAGTATATCATGCAGTACACCTGTCTGAAAGCATCTGCACTTAGGTTTAATAATTCTAACCTCATTCTCTTTATGATGATATAAATAATGTATTTTAACCATACCTAGATTCCACAGTAGTGTGTTTTATATACAGAATACAGTTTCAATTGTTCATCAGCATCCACATCCCTTATTATTTGGTACATGGAAAAAACCAAAATGATTTATATGATGATACCAAAGTCTGGACCCACCAGTGGGTCCGTTGATGTTAAGTAACTTTCTATGACATCGAAATAATCTCAATTCGGTGTGAATATTTGTCTCTGTGTCACAGCCTTCACGGAGGGACATGGTTGAGTTCACCATGGCGAGTAGAGACGTTTGCAAAACCTTCTGGAAGATGTGTGTGGAATACCATGCTTTCTTCCGTCTGGCTGAAGAGCCCAAGCCACATCAAAAGTCCCTCCTCTCCAGCAAGGGATCCAGCTTCAGATACAGGTACAGTAAAAGAGAACAAAAGAGAAAAAAAACAAGGTAACATATTATATTTTTCATATTTCAACATTAAGTGAGGTGTTGAAATCTGTAGCCTCTTCATGCAGGCCCCCTAGTGGTCTACACATTGATCACTTAAAGAACCATCTAAGCAATGACCTTATTGTTGTGAGATCACATGGCCGGGAATCGAAAAGAACATAACTGGCCTTGTTAGTGGCTAAATGAACTATAAGACATAAAACAAAATACTCATATTTTTTATGTTGATGTCCTTTGCTCTCTTTAATTTAAAAGCTGTGAGGAAAGTTTTTCACTCTTTTTCAAGTAAGCTTGTCTTCTCAAGAATACTTGGTTTGCTTCAGTGGCAGGACACAGAAGCAGCTCCTAGAATGTGTAGGAACTGGAGATCACAAACACTTACCGTTTGAGAGGTAAGCAGTACAGTATTGTTTGACTATGGCATCTATTTGCAAAGCCTGATTTCAGCAAAGCCTTTGTTAGTTTAGTATAATAATGAATGTGTGCCTTTCCTCTATGTTTGTTATGTCATTTTCAGACCACACTGCAAATCTGACCACAAATCTAGGCAATGCAAATCATCCCCTGACTTACTCACCGACGTTTCCAAACAGGTATGACATGAATGGCAACTGTGGAAACAAGCTTTTACATTTTACATATGTGTAGGTTTGCCAACTCCTTCCAACAGTAATCTGGGACATCTGGGGCTGCATAGCTGTTAAACTGGCACTACATCTGTTATATTATATTATAATTGTTATATTATAAGAGAATTTCAAGTCAGCTGGTTTTCTGTTGGTTTAGAGTGAAAAGTGGCTAAAAGCAATTGATGTAACATATTGGGAAGTAAAAGTCTGCATCCAACCCTGCATTTGCCTACCACAGTAACATGCTTAAAATTGTAAGTTGATTCAAATAAGAGCTTCTGCCAAACGCATAAAAACCAAATGCATACTTGGGTGTGGCTTGCTATCCATATAAGACCTACAGTTGTATACAAAACTTTGGGCACTCCTAGTCAAAATACACATGAATAGAAGTTAACGTCACCTCTGCATGGAACAGACTTGTTTATTTTTTCTGATGTTTCTATGTTAAATTCAGCAAAAAATAGTAATTGTACATTAAAATTTGTAGAAATTTGTCATATTTAAGTTTGTTCCATGCAGAAGTAGCATTAACTTCTTTGCACTCAACAAAAAATCAACAAAATCAGGGGTGTCTAAACTTTCACATGCAATTGTATATAAGTGAAAGAGAAGGAAATGGGTTCAGATCCTTCATGGTCACAGCACATTCTAACACTAAAAATGTTACAATGTTCCTTTTAATATATGTTAGTCTAGTTTTATTCCCATTGTTTTTTAAAAATTAAAACCACAAAGAATCTCAACCATCTTTTTGTAATTTTGTTAGTCAAAATTCAGAAAAAAGAAAATAGATGAGCCTGGCACTGGACAGAAGTATTTAGATTAACCAATGATAACTGATAACTACTGTTAGAGGCCTGTCAGAGTAACAAATTAGATCAATGAAAAAGTCAGTTACTGGCCAGTAGCAGTGTTACAGTGTTAGTGTTACAGTGACTGTTCCTGACTACTTTTAGAGGTCTATCAGAGTAACAAATGACAAATAGATCTATGAAAACCAGTGACTACTGTTAGAAGCGTATCACCGTAACAATAGTCCTTGAGTCTCCAGTTTGAGTGTTGACAACCCTTTGATATATATATATATATATATACATATATATATATATATATATATATATATATATATATATATATATATATATATATTTGTCTAAGGACCTTTATGTGTGTTTCTGCAGCTCTATGAGCAGGCCTATCCATTTCCCCACTTTGCTGTTTCTGAGCACCACATGGATGTGTTTTCTGATGAGCTTGAGAGATCACGGCCCTTGTCAAGAAACCCTGCCTTCTCAAGCAAGTCTGCATCTCCGAAGCTGCGTTCATTGTCCACTTCGGGAGTGGAGCGTCGAGGCAGGGGGTCCCAAAGACCGCGGGCAAAGAGACGCCAGTCCCCCAGCGCTCAGCACCTGGTCCTCCTGTATCCCAACAGCCCCCATCTGCAATTCCACCCAGTCCTGCCAACATTTCCTCTTCCAGCTTACCCATACCTGCTTCAAGACCACACTTCTTCTTCTCTGGACCGCCTAACACAAGCTCATCAGAGCCTCACTCCTCTGAAGCATTTGTCCAGGCAGACAGGCCACTCTTCTTCACCTGCTTCTTCTCTTTCACCACCACGACGGCAGCATCATCTAGAGAGGCTCCGTCTTTCTGGACTGGGATTGGCCGGATCAAGGCCATACCCCCTATCAGGAGGAGATGAGGGGGTGGGCTTGAACAGAAGGCTCAACACGGGAAGGACGGAAGCAGGGCACTACAGTGATGACTCCACCTTTCAAACTGGATTACCTCGTCGAGCCTCAAGCCAACCAAACGTGAAATTCCAGAGACCTACACTTGCTTCCTCTGCTGCGGCCCATGCTTCAGAGTTCCGGCCTCTGGGGTATTATCCTCATCTTTCACGTCACCAGGTTCCTTCTAGACCCACCTACCTCCCTCTAAGCACCACCCCCTTGCCAGAAAGGCCCACCTCTTTGTGTGTACTTGGCACAGGGAATTACAGCGATTCAGACTCTGACCCCTTCTATCCCTATTACTGCCCTGCTCTGGGCAAAGTGGTACATTCCGGCCCACTAGCACGCATGCGCTTCTCTTCTGGAAGCCTGCAACTAGATGAGGAAGAAGGGGAGGAGGACGAAGATGTGGACAATCAGAGTGAGGGGGAGAACAGTGCCCTCACTTCTGTCAAGGTAATGAAACTGTAGCTCTACTCGTTAGGGCAACTTACTTTCACAACTTGCACATAGTTATTGAACTATAGTCAGAGTAAGATAATATTCTGATAATATTTTCTTGGGCAATAGTCAATAGGCCTAGCCTGTTCTCAACAAATCCAGTCACCATGATTTCTAAAATGTCTGGAATCGTATAATTTCAGTATCATTTTCTGCTTGTATGTACAAACCATGTGTAAAAGATTATGTCAGCAATTTCTGCCTCATCTTATGTTTCTAGTTATTTGTTTTGCAAGTGACTGTCTTGTATTGGAAGCACTCTCTCCTTTCCCCACAAGAGGTGTGGGTGCATTTTAGTGCCAGTATTAGGACTAAGCTGAGTAAAAGAGTGGTATTATTCCATGTGCCCTGCTCTTACTGCATCTCCAAAATGACAGTGAACAGTAAAATCATATTGACTGAATTATATACAACAAATGAATATCTATGATAAAACTGGGCTCTTATTTAAATATATTGACATCATTATGTTGGACTATCAAGCTTTTATAACAATTTACTTTTTACTGCAACGGAAGCAATGCTGTATATTCAGAAGACAAGATCGGGTGTTTGATCACATGTGCCTTATCTGAATATTGCCATAATCTGATTATAATCTGAATATTAATATGCTTGGGGACAATGTAACACAATGATTGTTTTTGTTTGTGACTGAAATTAGATTGAAACTCAACTTTAAAAGCAAACCTGAACTCTTTTTTTTATTGCATTGTTAGGGGAATTGAAAGGAAAAGGATTTTTTCAGAGTGATCAGTCCTTAGTTTTATTCAAGATACATCAAATTTAAAAAACTACATAAGGTTAATCAAACCAGAGAGTATGAGTACAGCCCTCCTGCAGCATTGAGCCAGTAATGTACAGTAACTAATGTGACTTATTGAAAAGCTGAACTTATGATTAGTCTATGCCAACCCACCTTGGACCTGGCAAGTTGCATCATGGATGTCCATGTAATAATTTGAGCAAAACTGTTCATTTGATCTATGCAACCGTGCAAAATTTCAAAACAATGCCAAGTATTTATATATATATGGAGAGTATACTTTTTTGCATCAAAATTAAAATTTAATATTTGCCAGGTTTCAATTTTCTTTATTTTATTATTATACTTGTACATTGTATGTAATACTCCTACATTTCTATCACACCTAGGAATGATTAATTTCTGTATGCAATATCTGAAGCTACACTACAAATTCAACACGGTTTCACAACTAAACATATATTTTGATTCTATTTTTCTCAAGAAACTAATCCTATTTTCCTTTCTGCTTTAATCAGTACAGGTATGTCCCATTAATGTACAGCTGTATGAATAAAGTCCTATACAGAGAACAAACTCAAATATGGCAATATATACAACATTAGTGAGCAATGTCTATTTATTTGCTCAGTACATTGGGAACAAAAATTTCTTCCAATATGTTAAATTCAGTAAATAAACAGTAATTGTGCAATACAGTGTGCATATGTGTGTTCGCTGAAGGGATGTGTTATTTTCACTTAGGAAATATTATTTGACCAGGGGCAGTTGAAATGTTGCATATGTATAAAAGAATTACTTGGATAATGTGAATAATATGCAAAAACTAGAAATGGAAGAATATATTACCTATACTTTGTTGCAAAATATTATTAAACCATGAAACAGATCTGTACATCTGTATTTTTTATATGGTAATGAGACCTTACGGTCCTTATTCAGGAAAAAAATGAAGAAAATAGTCCCTTTTCGAAATAGTCAAAAAGGCTTGTAAAATGGATATTTAGTTGTTACATTATGCTACTTTGCACTGACTTCAAATACTGCATGCAGATGAATAATTAACTGTTTTGATAGAAATATACGAACTTAAATTTTGTAATGTACTTTCAATGTATTAATCTGCTGTGTGAATTTATTAACATGAACTCCCAAATGAAAAATAATTCTTTGTGTTGTATTTATAAACAAATCCTAGTTCAGTTATTCTGTAAGCAGTTGAACTCAATATTTTAGACATGATTTCGAATTTGTTGAGACAAACAGAAATTCTAAAAAAAAAATTCTAAACTAAAAACCTTTGGGATCAGTTTTGAAATTTTGCATGGTTACATGAACTACATATTTTGAACATGTTTTTGCTTTAATTCTTCCATGGAAATCCACAATGTGTTGGTGTGGAATAACCCATCCGTCAATCAAACATTTGGAATTTTGTGATAAAAATTGCAAATGAGTATTTTATTCCTTGATATCTGTTTTTCTGTAGTGATAGATATACACTATATTGCCAAAAGCATTCACTCACCTGCAAGCCAGGCCTTCTCGTCCAACAACAGTGTCTGACCTTACAAATGCGCTTCTGGAAGAATTGGCAAAAATTCCCATAAACACACTCCTAAACCTTGTGGAAAGCCTTCCCAGAAGAGTTGAAACTGTTATAGCTGCAAAGGGTGGGCCGACATCATATTAAACCCTATGGATTAAGAATGGGATGTCACTCAAGTTCATATGCATGTGAAGGCAGACGAGCGAATACTTTTGGCAATACAGTGTACTTTTTTTCCCTCACACGTGCATTTATTTATAGTCAATAAACAAGATTTCTGATTATTGATCTGCGTTTCATTCAACTGTATATAAATATATTATTACACAAAATGTCAACTGCTTCCTCCCATTGAAGCATGCAAGCTAATGATAGAGATCGATATTATCTTATGCAAATGTTAAAATGCTAATGCATAGTTCAAGTCCTTATTTGAAAAAGTGCCCAGAATGTGCATATACTTAGAAATATTAGATGCGGTGTTGGATATGGGAGGAATGGACAGGTGTAAATGCCAGAGCAACTTTGACAAGGGCCAGATGACCAGGTCAGAGCATCTCCAAAACAGCAAGGCTTGCGGGGTGCTCGTGGTCAGCAGTGAGGAACATGAAGAGTTCAAGGTGTTGCCCTGGCTTGCAGGATGTGCTGGAAGTCTAATCCACAGCGGCTCCACCTCACAACTTACAGGACTTAAGGATCCGATGATAACGTCTTGGTCTCAAATACAACACGCCACCTTCAGAGGTCTTTGTGGAGTCTTGTGGATACAACAGCATATGAGGCAAGTGGTTATAATGTTTTGGCTCATCAGCGTAAATCAAAAGAATGGTTCCTTTTCGTGTATTTCTTAGAACAGAGCAATGGGTTTATTAAAAGTTTTTAGTCACAAAGGAATGTACAAAAACAAATCAACAATAAATCAACACTGAGCAGAGTGGATTGTGTTAGCTATACAGCAAAAACGTAGTGCATCTTTATTAACAAAAAAAAAAAACACAACACAGTACAATTGCACACTGTAAACAAATTATATCCCAAAAAAAAAACAAAAAAACAAAAAACAAAAAACTACTGGTTGTTTCTGCATTTAGAATAAAAGGTACAGGTTTAATTTTCTATATGAGACTGTAGTGTACACAATATTAAGTTCCAGTTCAAAGAAAAACATTGAAAGTGGTTGTCCAGTTGTTGTAGGAGTGACTATGCTGACTGATTAGCTGACTGATGGAATTATTTTGATTATACAGTCCAGGAATATTCACTTTGCACAGCAAATTAATTGCAGTGCTGTATTAAGACATGGAATAAAAAAGGAAAGAACTTCATGTTACCATACAGCATTAAATATCATTACCTCAGTCTGTGCCACTGCCACATTAAGACTGACTGCAAGTACAGCAGAGAATTAAACATAAATATAGGCACTGTGATTCAACTTCCATGTCAGATTAATTGTAAGAAGTGACATGTGCTTTGGTGCTTCATTAAAAAAGGTCCAGAAAGAAGGTAACTTAAGATTCAATTTTGCACATTTGCATATTTGTTGTCATTTTTACTCTACCCTCAAAAATTTGGGGACAACTATCTTTTCAAAATGTAAATAACATAATATCATTACAAATCATTACAAATAGTACCTCAGGCATTTTATTCCCTTTTTATGAGGCCAGCACCCTTTAGCACTCAACCCCTTTCAGGTATTTATTCACCTTTGGAAAGGATTTTCAATGCATGCTTTTAGCAACATTTTTTAAAGATCACAGTCTAATCATCATTTAGGCAATCTCTACTTCATACTCATAAATGAGTGCAAAATAACAAATTATTAATAAATATCTGTTGAATGTCAGTAAACAATTCTTTGCAGGTATTTTTTTCTTCATCAACTGAAAAATGCTAAAAAAAAAAAAAAGCTGAAGATTTTCAAAAAAACACAATGTGTCCCTAGATTTTTGACAGGCAGTGTATGTCTTTGTGTTTATTTACCCTCGGATATAAAATGTAATATTTGTATCTATTAAACAGTGATTATTTATGCTTTAAAATGCTTGGGAGCAGTGCCTTATATGTAAGGCCTTCTATGCAAGAACAACTGTCTCAAATTCTATTTTCAAGTAATGTTAATATGCTTCAGTTTCACTGTGGCTATAATTAGATGGGGATTTTGCATTAAAATTTGTAGAAGGGTAAGACTAATAGTTCATCTGAAATAATTCCTACCTGCTTTTTTCTTTGCTTTTCTTTCGATTCCTATTTTCTGCCTAATTCAACAGATTCCTCATATTAAAGGCTGTACCATTATAAAACCATGACATTCAAAACTACGCTAGAACGTTTCTTAGGACATGGTTTAAGGGGCATCTGTGTTATCAAAATAAACAACATAAAAATTTGTCCTACTAGTAAATTTGCAATAGGCGAGATGATACAGTATAATAGCGTCCCACAAATGTACTGCAACAGTAAAGTCAAATTGCTTTCTTTGACATATATTAGGCAAGAGTAGAGAATGTCACATTAGTCTTTGGTGTTTAGGAATAATGGCATTTTTGTGTCCTGTTACCCTCATTTCAACTCTACAGCTGAAAGTTAGTATTGATGTATGCCTCTTGCATATTGCACAAAATAAATTTATTGAACCTTCAACATAGGTATCAACAAGCTTCTGCCTTTGGAATTTGGATGTAAAAATAGAAGAATTCCAAATTGAAATTTTCTTTCAAAGGTAAATACAGGACTGCTTTGCAGTAGATTGAAAACAAGAAAAACGCACTGCTATACATAATGATTAGTGATAATTGTGGCTTTGGAAAACTATAGAGGAGGTTACAAAAAAACACCAAAATTCATTTCGAGGCATGTCTGAAACATGGTAGAGGTAGTTTCATGTCTCAGGCATGTTTTCAGAAACTATAGAACCTATTACTATAGAATCTATTATGGGAAATCTGTCAATGTGTTGAAGGTTTGCACGATAAACACAACAAAAAATCTTTTACACTTTTTAACTGTTTTTTTTTTTTTTTAAATATTTGTCCCCATGCTCACCTAAAAAAGGGGGAAGCTGAACACAAAACATGCCATTATTTCAAACAATAAAATTTCCATCATTTGTCATCCTTCCATAATCCTTCATTTGTCTTACTCTCTCTCTGTTTCTCTGTTTATGAGTAGTTGTGCAATGGTTCGCTGATCTTCAGGCAAGCCCAGTGTAAAGCCCTGGCCAGGCTGATTAGTACTAGAAGAATGAAAAAAGCCCAGAGCACGTAGAGCCTCTGGTTGTGTTGGGCTTTTACCCATGTACCAGCCTAGAGAGAGACAGGAGAGGGAGAGGGAGAGAGTGTGAAAATGAAAATGCCTATTCAAGGTGACAGGGACATGTGTCCCCCAAATATTTTAGATCTTAGGTTTAAGGCTGTAACTAAGCCATATTTCGATTAAAAGTAATAACAACACGCTTACTCAGCAGCTGCTGTACTTTTTCCTGACAATGAAAGATTCTAGTAGCAACCCCTTTGGATGTGGCGACATGGCTCCTTCCATATAAAACGACATTTGATGGTACTCAATAAACAATCTGAAAAGCACACCATGACTCTACTGGATAAAGCTAACCACTTTGAATGTACTCTAAAGCGAAAGTGACAAACTAAAGTGTTACACTTACATTGTTAGTTTTTATTAGAGATTACACTTTTTCTTTTCTGACACCAATATTGAAACGTGTACGGTAGATGTTTTATCTTGTGCTTTTATCTGATCTAGGCTTGCTTAGCTTAGCATTGGGGCAATATCATACATGGTCTGAAGTTATGAATCTGTGCCCCTTAAGAAAATTTTGTGCATGAGACACTAATGTGAGAGAGTGAGGTTGTGTTTTGATGCAACAACGAAGATACAGTTAAGTCCATAAATTTGGACATTAAAGTTACCTACCTTTCTACCACAGCATACTGGTGTTGACACTAAATAATGAATGAGCTCAAAGTGCAGACATTCAGCTTTAATTTGAGAGTATTTCCATCAAAAATCTGGATGCAGTCAATGACAGCGCAAAGTCTGGGACTCACAGACATCACCAGAAGCTGGGTTTCTTCCCTGCTGATGCTTCCTTGGTAAGTGAAATGCACTGGACTGGCCACTGCAGAATGTTCCACTTTTTTGTCTTAAAATTCTTGGGTTGCTTTCACAGTATGCTTCGAGTCCTTATCCATCTGCACTGTGAAGCACTGTCCAATGAGTTTTAAAGCATTCGGCTCAGATGGAACAGACAGTAGTGCTACACACTTCAGAATTCATCCTGCTGTTTTTGTCAGCAGTCACATCATCAATACATACAAATGAACCAGTTCCATAGCAGCCATACATACCTATGCTGTAACACTACGTCCAGATAAAGAGGTTTGCTTTGGATCATGAGCAGCTCCATCCTTTACCATTCTCATCTCTTCCCATCATTCTGGTACAAACTGATCTTCGTCTCATTTGTCCAAAAGATGTTCCAGAACCGTACAGGCTTTTAAAATGTTTTTGGCAAGCTCTAATCTGGTCTTCCTGTTTTTATAGCTTACCAATGGTTTACATCTTGTGGTAAACCCTCTGGTGAAGTCTTCTCTTGTTTGTTGACTTTGAACCAAATACGCCAGGGAAAAAATTCTTGTCATCCAACACAGCTGATTTCTATGATCTTCTGGGCTTTTTGCTGTTTCTGTACTCACCAGTGCATTCTTTCTTTTTAAGAATGTACCAAATAGTTGATTTGGCCCCACCCATTGTTTTTGCTCTCTCTGACTGTTTTGTTTTGAACTGTCAGTCCAATGATGGCTTGCTTCACCGGAAGCTTGTTAAACTTCATATTGAGAACAACAGATTCCAAATGCAAATGCCACACTTGAAATCAATTCTAGACCTTCCACTCACTTACAGGCAAAAAATAAGAAAATAACAAACCCTGACCATGAAACAGCTAAGCGGACAGTTGTCCAATAATTTTTGAGCCCCTAAAAATGGGGGGGCTATGTATAAAAAAACGCTGTAATTCCTACACTGCTCAACTGATTTGGATGGAAATAACCTAAAATTAATCATATTCATTATTTAATTTCAACTCAATATGCTGTGGTAGGCAACTAAAATAACAATAACAAACTTCATCAATGGGCAGTTAGGTGTAGAGCTTACTGTACTTTTTGTGAACTGGTGAACTGCAATTAAACAAGATAGTGAACATTTATCCTAAAATGCTGATCTATATCCCTTCCCCTCACCCACATGACTGTGTCGAAGAATGTCAAAAGCAAAAACAGTTCTTACATCCCAGATACAGGCTATTGTAAACTTTGATAAATATGACTCATTTTACATTGAAATTGTTGCAAACACTTAAGACTACCCAATTTTTCACTTTTTATTTTCATAGCACTCACCATCAGTCCAGCAGTTGAAATGATGAAGAGCGAACACAAGACAAACCAGATCAAACTCCGCCTCCTTGGGTACCTCTGGCCAATCGATGAGCTATAAAAGGGGTGAAGTAGGATATGAGAAGGGATCAATACTTCATGTTAGGTGTCTATTATATGAGACTAATTACTGAAATATAGAAGTTTTGTCATTTAATGAACTTTGTAATTGTAACCATTCACACGAGATCAAGAGAGGTAACAGAGAGCAACAACAGACACATAAAACATAAAATTTATCTATACTTACACTTTTCTGCAGTGAGGACAGCGGGCTAATGTGCGGTTTGTAAACTCTGTCCACTAAAACAAACAAGAATATGATTTGAGTAAAACTAAATTTATGTTGCCACACCAAGTTATTAGTCATATCAATCACAGATACATAATTCAATCATTAGTAAGTAAAAAATGAAATGAAGAAATAAATTAGTTTTTTTTGTTCACCAGTTCAAAATGTATTGAACATAGTATCCATCCTATGCGCAAAAGCCTGAGGGCCTGGCTCGCAATCTCCATTCTAGTTCATCCCAAAGGTGTTTGATGGGGTTGAGGTCAGGGCTCTGTGAGGACCAGTCAAGTTCTTCCACACTAAACTCACCCAGCCATGACTTTATGAACCTTGCTTTGTGCAGTGGGGCACAGTCACACTGGAACAGAAAAGGGCCTTCCCAAAACTGTTCCCACAAAGTTAAAAGCATACAATTGTCCAAAATGTCTTGGTATGCAGAAGCATTAAGATTTCCCTTTACTTGAACTAAGAGGCCTAGGCCCACCCCTGAAAAACAACCCTATAGCATTATCCCTCCTCTACTAAACTTTACAGTTGGCACAATGCAGTCAGGCAGGTCACATTCTCCTGGCATTGCTGACATGATTGCATCATGCAATTTCTGCAGAATTTTCAGGTGCATTTTCATTCTGTGAATCTCCTGTTCTCCCACATCCCAAAGGTGTTTTACTGGATTCAGATCCGGTGAATGAGAAGGCCAGTGAAGAACACTATGACATTATCATGTTCCTGAAACCAGTTTGGGATTACTTTTCCTTTGTGATATGGTTCATATCATGCTGGAAGTAGCCATTAAAAGACATCTTGATCGTGGCCATCAAGGGATGCACATGGTCAGCAACAATCCTCAAATAGGCTATGGTATTCCAATGATTGATTGGTATTAATGAAGCCAAAATATGCCAAAAAAACAACATTACACCACATCCACCAGCCTGGACTGTTGACACAAGGCAAGTTGCATGAGTGGATTCATGCTGTTGATACCAAATTCTGACCCTAACTGTGTACCTCATCTGAATCAAGATTTATCACACCAGACTAATTTTACCAGTCTTCAACTGTCCTGTTTTGGTGAGCCTGTGCACACTGCAGCCATAGCTTTCTGTTCTTGACTGACAGAAGTGGAACTCGACGTGGTCTTCTGCTGTTGTAGCCCAGCTGCCTGATGGTTTGACATTTTGTGCATTCTGAGATGCTTTTCATCAACAAGGCTTTTTCATCTGCAGACCTGCTGCTCACTGGATGTTTTTTTTATTGTACCATTCTGAGTAAACTCTAGAGACTGTTTGTGAAAATCCCAGAAAAAGGCCAGAACATTTGGCATTCCCCCTTTATTATCAGTTCCCCATAATATTTTCATTTTACTTGATAGAATTTTATTAATTAATGTATTATTATTATTATTACTACTACTACTTTCTCCCCTTCCTTCCTTTTCCTTGTTTTCTATTCTCACTTGGGTGGGATGGGTTTGGGGATGGGCAGAAGGGGGTTGTAGTGGTACAGGGTACAATGCCTGTGATGGTGTTTGCTTTTTTACATTTAAAAACAACATAATTAGAGTAGATAATGATTATGATTACCAGAAAGGTGTTTCCACAGTGGCCACAGGACACTCTCGCTCCAGTAGGTTGGGGAGTTGGACTCCCTGCACCAGGATGGACAGGACCTAAATTAATAATGCGCTTACTGCGCCAGACACGCAGTTTTGTGAGTACAGACATTCTGACTTGATTCTCAGTTTTCTCTCATAATTCCCATTAATCTCATTAATCTTGCTTTACAAATTATTTTCCTTTACATGGTCATTTATGCACATTTTTACAATACCCAACAATAATAAAGTTTTGGCCAATGTAAATACACCGTAGTGAAAAATCAGAGGGACTTTGGAATAAAAATCATCAGTAAAGATGTGAATGGATATTAAATTCACATACAACGTTTACAAATGTGCTTATTTATTTGTTGGGAGAATGAAGGGACTATATGTAATAGGGGTGAGGGAAAAACTCGATTCTTAGATGCATCGCGATGCGGACGTGAACGATTCTGAATCGATTCATTAATGTCAAAAATCGATTTTCTAAATATTTAATTTATAACGTAATGTTGACGGAATGCAAGGCGGAACAGGAAGTGGGTAAGTGCAGCGCCCGGACAGTCTGTGACGGCACATAACAAAAACACTGCTGGATGAGCGAGAAATCCGACCGGCTCCCTCTGCATGAAAGCCAGGTTAGGTCAGGAGTCACAGCACAAATGTTCAGAAGAGCCATTTTGTAAGTAAAATCACCTTGGGAGCCACAACATGTTATGTCCAGTATGTCTCAGTATGTGTTAATGTCCTAGTATAGACTAAACAATATAAACGAGTGCAGATTTACTTTGCTCTGCTTTAAGTTTTAGCGTTAGCCACTTTCCTCCCATCTCCGGCAGAAAACTTTTCTTCAAAACTAGAAGAGTTTCTTGTGAAATATCTCAGCATCCGGCTGTTTTACGAGGCTGAAGTCGCTTCTCATTCGCCAGCTTCTCGTTCTAATTTTCCCGGTCCACCTTAAATTCTGCCTTAGGCGTCGAATGTAACTGCTGCACCATTTAAGGTGGAACGTTCGAAAAATTCGAAAGAGAAGCGAGTTCATTTTCGCAGCTTTTTAAAGAAAGACAGTCTCTCATTGCAGATTTAACCAACCGCGCTGCTTATAAATGCGAATAGTCCTCCAAATGTTCGTCTTAATCTCTGTAACAGCGCATTTTATCGCAGATGAGTGGCAGCAGCGTCTCTGAATGAGAGCCTTCTAGTTCACTTGCCACATCACTTCCATTTGATTTATTAATAAAAGATATTTTAGATATGTAAAGCAAAGTATTTGTAATGTTCCATAATACATTTACATTATGGATCATTACAAATACTTTGCTTTAAAACTACCAAGTCCTCAGACAGTAGGAAGATAGAAATCCTGTATAGAGAAGAAAGATGCATCGAGATGCATCGATAATCATTTTATAATCGCATCGCAGCCCTCTGAATCGTAATCAAATCGAATCATGAGGTGCCTAATGATTCCCACCCCTAATATGTAAGAACTTGATGTGAACTTAAAACATTTTCAGAAGTATGTTAAGCATCTGCTAAAGTAATAATGGAGAACAACTCTATAATAATTAGGATAACAAATATTGCTTAATTAGCTAAATATAGCTAAATTAAATGAAAGATACAACGTCATCTCTCTTTTGTTTCTACTTTTCCAATCTCTTTTTTTTTCCTCACCAGTAAGGCCGAGGGCAGGCAATCCTCTGCGAGGTGACTTTGCAGATCAGGAGACAGTTGCAAGGACAGCGCACATACTTCTTCCCAGCAGGGGCGTTCTTTATAGGCTGGTGGGAGGGAAAAAGAAAGGCATACTTGAGTATTGTTCTCTCTATCTGACTGAGAATAACAGTGTCCATTATTTGTTAAAAATATGGCATGTCCACCTTCACAGAAATATGAAGAATTTCACTGCTTTTCATAATTTCTCTATTTCTCTATATTGAATGATTAAGCTGTACATAAAGTCATTCAGAGAAGTCTGATGCAAAATGCTCACACTGTATTGTACAGAAACTTCCTGAATTAGTGGTGGTAATAGGAACCAGCAACTAAACAAAATAGTTAGTACACTGTCTGATGCCTGAGACATTATTATACAATAGTTGTAAGACAATGTTTTGATCTAAAATCTATCTTTTAAAATCCATTCATAGCAGAGAGGTACATGCAGAAGAATTTAAGGCAAAACAATTCTCCACCCCTGAATTAATGAAATATTCCAGGGTTTTTCAAACTCTAATCTAAACTTCATCTGCCACATCCGTGTGTATGGATGATTACTTTTAACATGTACTTATAAATGAACAGAAAACTCATTGACTTAAAACACACTTATAATGAAAGTCAAAGGGCAGTTTCTGCATTAGTTAATAAACTTTTATGCAAAACACTTTTATGAATTCTTCTGCAAGCTGTAAGTGTGTAAAATGTCCTCATCAGAGATGGGACCAGAGCATGGCAGAAGTTCTCACAGGCACCTACCTGATTACAAGTGAATACAAGAAAACCTAAGAGAAAGTGAAAGTAACAGGAAGTGGTTTTCTATTATGTGCTCAAAAGTAAGATATGACCATTTGATAATGTCTGTCTCATACTAAGACCTGTATTGCTAGTGTTTGAATGTCCATGTTTATCTATGGTAATCGAATGTATGCTACAGATGCAGCATATAAAGACTGGATTTAAAATGCTGTAGTATTCCTTTAAAGGGAATTGCCTTAAAGGGAAATAAAAAAACAGATATTTTTAATTTCAGCATAATTCAATGATTGAGATGTAAACAAAGTCATTCAGAGTGGTTTGATTCAAAATGGTGCACTGAAGAAAACCTAATGGACTTCTTTACAGTGGTGGTGATATACATACATACAAGGGTCACAAAGTCTACAATGCAAAAATATAGCCATTTTATTTACTTTCTAAAATGACAAGGTTTTATATGTAATGTTGACCGTGATAAACTACTGTTTAAGTAAAAAAAAAATGTTTTCTTTGGGGACCATTTTGCATTACAACGCCCTGCATGTACCTCTCCACCAAGAATGGATTTTAAAAAATATGTTTTCAAATCTATCTTAAAGCAATGATTTGGGCAAAAGACAGCATATTCATAACCATATAAATACAGCTCCGTAGCTCTGTTTAGAAGCATTAAACTCTTTAGACATCTGGTTCTGGTCACCACAGCTGTAAATACTTCTGACTAGTTAAGTTTCTCTGGAACGTGGCATTTTACATCACACCACTCTGAATGACTTTTATTCACATCTCAATGATTCACCTATGTGGAAACGCTGAAAAATCGATGGATTGGCCCTTAATGTCATTACACACGCCCATGTATCTTAAGGTAAAGTAAGGTGAGCAAGGTCACCCACCGTAGCCTCGCTGCAGACGCCACACTTGACTACATGTTGGTGCATCTTGCCCTCCACGCTGATGAGGGACTGGCACACTCGGCAGCTGATGACAGGGGCACTGCTGCTATCAGGAGAGGCCAGCGGGGAGTACGGTGGCGGGGCCTCACCCAGCAACCCAGGTGGTGGTGGAGGATTGGAAAATGCTGGGAAACCTTGGGGACGGTTGAGAGGGAGATGATGGAGAGAGTGACACAGAGAAAGATAGGCGGCTTAAAAAGTGCACCGACCACATTTTTTAATATTATAAAAGTTCACAACAACGCACATTACTACTAAACAGGCTTAGCAGAACAGACAGGAGCTTAGAGTGGCTGTATCTGAAACTAACAGGCTGAACAGACAAGCCTGGGAGTGACGTGAGCAGTTAACCTAGCTCTGCTGGCTTTTGGGACAGTGACACAGGTGCGTAGTTTGAGCCTGACTCTTAACACATATTATTCACCGGAACACATGGCGCTACACTTTGCCCTGTCAACACGCATGCTGCCCACATCCTCTTTTCACATTTTGTCCACGGTCGGTCCACTTAAGCTAGTTAACCGCTTACTCACTGTGGGGTCTCTTCGGCTCATCTCCTGCTAACAGCCCGTTCGCCCCGTTTACATCTGACAGCAACGGCGACCTCTCTCCGTCCGCCATACCGTGGGCGATGCGGCCGGGGTCTCTTCGAGGGTCGTGGCGTTTCTACTGGAGAGAAATATGCTCGGACTACAGCGAAATGCAACACTCCAGGAAGCGCCACAGAGATCACATGAATTCTGGCAGCAGGAAATAGGAACAAAAATAACAACATGGTCACGTGACCGCGACACCGCCGCTCACTGGGTGACTGGGTGACCTCAGCAGTTAGGTTTTTTGAGGGTTGATCCTTCTGAAGCCTCGCGAACAAGCAAAAAAATCGGAAAAGAGTTGTCTACGAATTGATACCTTCAGGCCATGAGTTAAGTTTCTCATAACTTGTGGCCTCGAAATGTTAATTTTAGGCCTCAATAAATTAATTCGTGGCCTAAATATAGTAATTCGTGGCCTCAATGTTTAATTTGTAGCCATACAGTAAATTGTGGCGTCAATAGTCATTTGTGGCCTCAATATAGCAAAGTGTGGCGTCAGCATAGTAATTTAAGGCGTTAATATATTAATTTGTGTCGTCAATATTTAATTTGAGGCCTCAATATAGTAAGTTTTCAAATTCTAATTTGCCTACCCTGCCTACCAGGGTTCTTCACTCTACAGTTTTTTTTATTTTTTCTTAAAATAGTGAAGTCACAAATTCAAAATCACCTAATATTAGTTTAAACTTGTTTATTGCATAGTGTAATGTATGTTATTTTCTTAGTTAAAAAATATTTATGTTGTCATTTAGCACATTGCAGTAGTCCTCCCTCATATTATGACATTCAACAAAGCTGGTGAAAAATGTTTTAATCAGAAAACACAAGCCTACTGTTAATAAAAGATACATTAGAATGTTATTTTTTCATTTGTCAGCTATAATGGTCTAGCTGTAAAACTGGCGGTTAAGTTTTACTTAAATGATTAATATGTCCTTAATTGCTTATCGTTAAAGTGTTTTCATGTTGTTTTGACCCTTTCATGTACAGATTTGTCTAAATGTGAAAAGTAAAAATGACTTGGAATCATTTTTCTCTTTGAATGAAAAGGTCAAGGTTAAATCTTCATAAAATGTTTTTTTAATAAATGTCTTTCATGTTCACTTTGCTAAAAAAATTGTCATTCCCTAAGATAAATTTTTAATGTTTTAACATTTTGAATCTGTTTATTAAATGGGGTAATGCAATTTTTATTCACTCAGAATACCTGTTTAGTTTTCACTTTTTAGCTTAACCATTAGCTGAAATATTTTTTCATTTTATGCCAGTTTGCTGAGCCTGATTTTATTACCACTGTTGATTAGAATAAAAATTTCAACGTTCAAAGAGGCAAAATACAGTCATGTCAAAAGATGTCTTTTACTTCACAAGTCAGAGCAGCATTTAGACAGTTTCACAGAGAAATTACAATAAATATCAATGTAAACATTATCATCAGACATCATTAGCTATGTACACACATCCCTCAAGCTGTCAACAAGCAGCAAAACAAATTCAGTACAAATAAAAAAAAAAGAAAACTGAAACAAAGCCTGTACCCTGGAAATATTGCAACATTTTCTCTGCAATGTATGTTTATAAAATACATATTTTATGTACAGTTATGATATATAATATAAAGTCTATGCATTCAAAAACCCAAACAACAACTACTACAAAAAACATCACAAAATGAAAATGTATGAATAAATAACAATAATATGTTCATGAGGAGGAAAAAAAAGAAAAAAACACCACTTCAATGTAAGTCAAACAATGTCATCCTGTATGTGTATGTTTGTATGTGCCTAAATGTATGAAGTCAGATTTTGTAAAGCCTTCAGCAGGTTAGTGTTAAAGGCCCAACAGGTACTGCCAAATGTACCACAGGCCTCCAGGACCAGCACAGAGTGCACATAGTTGTAAGTATTGCACATCAATTCAGTGACTGCACAGTTATGACTGACTACTCTAAAGTTGATTGTGCAGTCAACTGCAATTATACTGCATTTCAGTGCATGATTACAGCTTATGCTGTGGAAGTCTATGAAAACACAATATCATCTATATTTATGGTTCTCATGCTCTTTTACCTAGCAGCATTTACCTTCTAACTAGATATGCCTGCTTTGTATTTGGGGAAGCAATGCATATCTTAAGGTAGTCATTTCCATGTAGCAAAATCAGGTAAAACACAGGAACATAAGATACTGGCTTCTTCATTTGTGTCAGATATCAGAACCAATCCACTCGATTCCACACTGAAACTGTGTCAAGTCCAGATGTCATTGTGACAGATGACTTCACTGTGACTAAGGCATCCTACTACGTGGATAACTGGCCAGTCTGCGTTAGCTTACCCCTTAACCAGGTAAGCAGTTATTCATATAAATCAATGTTTTTTTTTTACGGCTAATTAGTGCATTAATAATGCAAAAACAAGCCAATACTATCCCAATGAGACAAGTTAGCAGAAACACTCAAAGAAAGAAAAAAAATCAGAAACAACATTTCCTGCTTACCACTTCAGCACACTGTGTGAATAAGTGGCGTGTACACAGATTATGATAAGTTCCAGAATTCAGACACATCAGCCTTCATACGCTCCTCCATCCTTCTTCAATGTAACACTTTGCTGGAGCTCATTAACACAGTCACCTGTCCATCACCTGAACCATAATGTAACACTGTAATGATGATCAGCTCTAGACATCATAATCAGGTACAGCTGAGTAACTTATTCCTCCAGCAGAGGGAGGAGAGGAGTGGAGCGGGAACAGCCAACACAGCACAGAGCCTGCAAACACAGGAGAGATTTAACAAACACCTAGACAGAGTTGACAGTTTGTGACATACACCTGCCTTGTATCTTCACTCACTGGCCATTTTATCAGAAACGCTTACTATCTAGGTACACTTTTTAAGGTTTACAATCACTGAGTATAGCCTGTTGCTGCACAGGTAAATCAGCCACCCTCGACTCTATCTGTCAATGGAAAGACACCACCACAGAACCACCACCAACCACACATTATTTGGGTGACACCTAAATGGTTCTGGCATGTTAGTGTGGCTTGTTATGAGTGTATCAGGCACAGCAGTGTTGCTGAAGTTTGAACACACCTCAGTGTCACTAATGGGTTCAAAATAGTCCACCAAACAAAAGATTCCAGCCAACAGTGGCCTTGTGGTGACCACTGACACCACACACAAAATGTCACTACCATGTCAGTGTCACTGCTGTGTTGAGAATAATCTACATATTTAGCTAGCGGTGGTCCTATGATGGTCCCTTTCTACTGACAGACAGTGTAGAGCAGGGTTGTATCTGCAAAGGGCCTGTGTGGCTCTGAGTTTTCATTCCAAATGAGCAGGAATTGCGCTTTGAATGTTTACAATATGTTCATAACAATATTAAACAAATTTGATGTATAAAATATATAAAGTAATTGTAATAGATTAGGCTTGTACAGCTTCAAAGATTTCAAGTAATTAGTAGGACACTACAAAGTTGTAAATAAAAATATAGAAATGTTACATGCATTTGGGATAATGAATGGACCCACAGCACTGAATCCACAGCACTGAATACTGTATTATAATATAATTAAATTCAGAATTCATTATATTTAAAAGTGGAGACCAAATCTTGATGCAGATAACTCGACCAAAAAATGAACAGAAATAGACAATCATAGTAGCTCAAATAATTTATCCCTTTCCTCACATCTTGTTCACATAGTTCTTGAAATATTGAATTAAACATCTAAAAATATGTTTTGTAATATTTGAATCCACACTGTATAAGTTATTATTGTGTATAAAATAGCAAAAAATGTCAATATCAGTCATTTGACCACAGACACTCACCTCGTCCGAACACTTCACGAAGCAGTGCAATTTTGGGCTTTCGTGTGTGTGTGGTGTGTGTCAGCTGTCCACTGTTGGGTCTGTCCTTCATCAGTCTGTTCTTCATCTGCTCAATGGGTGTCTCATCTGTTATGATAGACACCAGCTGGAGGGAAAACAAGACAGTGCCTGTGTCCAGTCATTGCTTTTGTCGTTTCAACAGTAAACTGCTGCATTGCAGGTGTGTGCTTTCCATCAAGTTAGATACGCACCTGGTCATAAAATATCACCAAGACGAAAACACCAAACAGAATGGACTCCACTAACAGAATGATGTAGTGTGCCCTGCCATAGTGAAGAAACAACAGATGCAGAACAACATAAAAGTTATATAGAAATGATGTGCTGTATATATCATTAGTTCTGTAGAGTGCTTTTTGTTTTACAAATGTTTTTAGCTTTTTTTTGTTCTCTACAGTGGCATCAAGTTAAACAGAAATAGAAATAAAAGTATTAATTAGCTGTATTTCAATGTATTAATTTTTACAATTATTATTAGTGATGCACTGAAATTTCTACCACTGAAACATTTCAGCCAACAATGGTCAAAAGTGGCACTTTAGGTTTTCATCTGAAGGTAAAACATAAAAAATTTTGGCCAAAAAGAAAAAAAAAAATTAAACACTAACTAGGACTACAACAAAATGTCATAATCTAACACTTGGTATTTGAATGCTAATGAAAATTAAGAATAGTAAATAGTTTTGCTTTGTTTTTCCAGTAAAAACATGTTTGAGCAGTAGCAGATCAACAGTGGGAAAAATGTCAGGCATGTGGAGTTATTTCTATGATAAAAATTAGACAATTAGCAATTTATAATCTCTGTTCATGTCAAGTATCAAGAGGTAACTCAATGCCCTAGAGCGTTTCCATTACAAGTTTGATAGCACTTAAAAACATGACATCCTGCTCCATATGCATGTACAGCAGAACAACAGAAGCAGAAAGGAAGTCCCTGCTAGCACACTAATGCCATCTGTAGCCACAGTATTTGTGCCAAAGTGCAAAGTATAACTAAAATATAATAAAGTTGCCTTCAATGGCGTCCATTCTCTGCTGACGAGAATGTTGGATTTCATGTTACATTCTGTAGCCTACATACTGTAATAATTATATAATAATTTTACTATGTCTATTTCATGTAAACTGTTTTTATTTATTGTCAGCTCATTATTTTCCTACTGAAAGCAGGTTTTATCAATAATAATAATACTTCCATTATCAGCAAATAAGCATTCTTTATTATCAAATAAGCAAATAAAAACCAAATCAACTTTTTTTGGTCTTTGTTTTGGCC